AATCCACTCGGTATACCAAAATTTAACGAATCAGTATGTCAAAAGTTGATTTAATGAGAATTATGGCAAACTACGGGTTTTGTGAGACTCTGACATCGTGAATCGAGAGAGTTCGGCAACTAGAAGTGCGATCCCAATCGCGAACATGGTGACAAGACCTCCCGTTTAAGTGTTTTTTTTTCCCATATCGATACGCCATCTTAATTGTGATCATATAAGATTTTTTTAACGTTGTGAATTTAAAACAATATTTTTAAATTTATCAATGTTTTTTAACTATTTAAGAGTCTGTTTGGGTTATGCTGAGAAATGAAAATAAAAATGACAGTGAATGAAAATGGGAATGAATTTTCATTTCCCTAATTTAACCAGGAATGAAATTTTGGGCTTCTGAACAGAATGAGTCTGTTATATTATAAAAAACCAAGCAGTTTCCTTTATTTTCATTCTCATTGGTTACTGCTTAATACCTCTAATTAAACGCCTCCTAAATTTTGTTTAATAATTTAAAATAAACAAATATTAGACAATGTTGATGTACTTTATATTAATTTTTGTCTTGGATCTTTTTTGCTTTAAAACTGTATGAAATTAGAAAGTTTTCGTGATTAAAATGAGATCAAAATATAAAGTTTATTAAATTTTATTTTATATGTATTTTCTATAGATATAAAGCGGGAGACGTATTTGATGTTTTAAAAGAGAATTATGTTTTATCTTGAAGATATATATATATATATATATATAGAGAGAGAGAGAGAGAGAGAGAGAGAGGTGGAGGTTCAAACGAAAACACCTCTATTTTACGAGAACACCCTTATCACATGTGATAATACGCATGAGGAGACCCTGTGATGTGCGAACGACGTGTTCTACGACTTAGGTCACGCCAAAATGTGTTTGCGTCTATGATTTAACATCACACGTGATGGTCTTGATGGATTATACTATCATATCAACAACACTTTTATCACATGTGATAATACTTGTGAGGGGGCTTAGTGGTGTAAGGGCGACTTGACCCGCAACCAAGATAACATCGAAAATCGTCCGCATCTCTGATTTAGTATCACATGTGTATCATATGTGATAGAATAATAGTATCACATGTGATTGCCTATAATAAAAGGGTGTTATCGCGTTCTCGTAAAATGAAGGGATTCTCGTTTGAACCTTTCCATATATATATATATATATATATATATATATATATATATATATTTTATATATATATGTATTGATAAAATATAGGTTTGTTCATGTTGTTCCATGAGATGGGGGTAAAACAGTAATATTTGTTCTATCATGTTCAATGTACCAAACTCACCCTTATGGACATCAACGAAAGACATTACATGAGAATAGAAGGAATCATATTACCAGTGTCGGATCCAGAATTTACGAGACTGAGGGCCTTGATAGTATAAAAAAAACTCAAAACCAAATAACTCACCCGAATCAAAACGGTTCGGTTAGCCGAATAAGGTAACTTTCGGGTTCAACTTTTTTAAAATTTATATGATTTCCTTCTAGATGAACTGGTTTGAACATATATAAAATTAATATTAGATGAATTGATTTATTTTTAGACCAAGAACAAGAAATTGAGATATATTAATATTTGTCTTTTACTAAACGTTAATTGGGTAATACCGCATCATTTTATTTTACCGGGTGACCATAGCAGTAATGAGAGTGATGACTTTAACCTGATCAATAATTACATAGAAAGAGACGTTACCAACAATCTTAGGGGCTGTTTGGTTCAAGTTGGGGGATGAAAAAGGAAATCAAAATGAAAATGATGGCGAATGGAAAATGGGAATGCCTTTTCCTTCCCGCCAGTTTAATTTGGAATGAAAAATTGGGCTTTTGGGAGATTGAACTCATTATATTATGTAAAACCAAACAGTTTTTTTATTATGATTTTTATTAATTATTACTTAATACCTCTAACCAATCTTACCCGATTAGGATTGGATCGGTAAACGTCTCGTAAACTTAATATATGATTAAAAGAAAAGAAATCTTAGAAAATCTCTTTTTAATTTAATTTAATCATAATAAATACATAAAAGGGTAAAAGTTTTCCATCCACTATCTTCATATGATTGTTTATTAATTTTTGTTTAAATTGTATGAAAAAGTAATGTATTTTAACTTGATTCCTACTTTGGGTAATTAACTTTTAAAACTTTTATTTTGGTATATAAGATGTAAAGTTTTAAACATTTAAGTACCTGGGCAACCGGTTGAAGCATTAACCGGTTATCATGTTGATGTGGCGAGTGATGTGGTATCCAACTCAGTATTATTTTTGACGTGGTTAATGACATAGGTTTTTTTAATCTAAAATTAGACTTTTTTTAATCTAAATTTAGTCTTCAACCGGTTACCCGTATACTTAAAATTTTACATATTAGTTACCAAAATGTAAGTTTTAAAGTACGCTACCCAAAATAAGAAGAATCAAGTTAAAATAGGTTATTTTTTTTCATACAATTTACCCTTAATTTTTCTACTAAAAATTATTAAAAAAACAAATGGTACCGATGTCTAATTAAGAAACCCATCAAATAATTCTAAGAAGCTTCGTGAGTTCAAAAATTAGAGAGAAATGGAACAATTTGTAAATAAACGAAGGTGAATAATAATTTTGAACATAAAATTTGTTACTATTATATCGTTATAATTCTGTTGCAGTTTTGCTATTTGTTGTTATTGTAAACGAAATCAGAAATGTCTAAAACTATCATTTTTTATTTTTTGGAACTGCAAATTTTATAAGAAAACAGAACTAGCGAGGACCTAGGAGTAGATCAGATTATTAGAAACATAAATATCGTGAGTAGAAAATTTATAGGAGCTTCATTCGGTTTGCCTTTATTTGATATATGTCAAGACGATTTATATATCAACTACATTCATATTACGGGATTGATTCGAAGTTAATTTAAGAAAACGTTGAAAGGAGTTGTAATCGTTACCAATGCTCACCGAAATTTGAAGGGTTGTAAGAAATTCGGTGAGTATCCCGTCATTAAGATTGATGAGAGAATACGCCAACCGAAAAACCGATCCAAGATCCCCTCCCACAAGATTGTTTCTTGTCTTTCTAATCTACATCAACTCATTCATCGTGTTCATTTGCCCACACATGGGTATCTTAACCGTCAGTCTATTATTGCTCACATTTAGAATTGTGAGTTCATCCAACTTCGCTAGTGATTCAGATATCAAACCTGAGATGCTTAACAACTCCAACAAAGAGTATAGATTGAGGATACGAGCTGATAGACCTCGAAAAGAGTTCTTTCGGTTCACTACTGAGTCTTGAATCTCAAGCTCAGTATTGTGAATGCTTTCGAAATATCTGAATCGGAATCGGAATCGAAACCGGATTTTGACATTTGCGGAATTTCAATCATGCTTACAAGGTTTGCTAATTCTTGCGGGATACATCCTCTTAGGTTATTCCCAGAGTGATCAAGAATCCGAAGCGAAAAGTGAGGTTGGAGATTGTTCTCTGGATAAATACCTCAATAGACTTGTTTCTTAGGTTTAAGAACTTTTTATATTCAACTTTATGTCATCATATTATTCCAACTCATTACTTGATTTAGTATATACGATCCATTATCATCCAAACATATGGCAGAGAATAAAACGTGGAACCTAAAGAAATGGACTTCCATGCAAACATTTTGTCAAAACATTCGATTTTTCACTCTCACCCCTCCACATGAATCCAAACATGATTTTAGAAAAACTAGCAATTTTGATGGTGGTGGTGGTGGCAACAACGACCGCATCGAGGCAGGCAGCAGAGGAGTTGAAAGAAACAAAAACGGTGACCAAAGAAGAGGAGGAAAGGTCGTCGTCGTCGTCTAAACTGGTGGCGTTGTCAAAAGCAACGACACCACCGTCAAAGGCCGCCGCAGCTCCGGCGCCGAGAAGCTCAGGCTCATGCATGCCAGATTGCATGGAAATCTGCATGGAATTAAAACCCTCTCATAAAAGTGCATGTGAAATAGGTTGTCAATTTGGATGCAAACAAATAAAAGGTAGGGGAAAAATAAATTTAAAGCATTAGATTCTTATTTATTATCCATTTATAGGAAATTCAATATACATAAATATATGTATGTATATATTAAAGTATGCATATATGTATATAAGTATTATGTGTGTCTGTATGTTGATAAAACCGAGTGTTTGCAACTTTTATCGTTCTAAACAAATTTTTGCATAGATGGTAAATCTTACTGATTCATTTTTTGATACACAGAAACATTTATACATACATGGACAGTGACGGAGCCAGGGGTTAGCAGGTATACTCACCCATTTTCGATTTTGATAATGATCAGTAAAATATTTAAACAGTTAGTATACAATCGTAAATTAAACAATATTTACCCACAAAATCCCAGAATTATGTTTCCTTTATCATAAATTTTCTGGCTCCGTTACTGTATACAAACAATATATCAGTCATTTTTCTTTCTCAACGTTGTTAATATCATTAGATGGAACAATCAAATTTGTGAAACGGTGATTTTCTAAGAACAAAAGCAAAGCCATGATGCAACCATTACAAGTGGTTTTAGGAGCTGTTTGACAGTTGCTGAATGGTTTGGTGCAGAATTATTAAGAGACTCTCATGATATAATGTAAAATAAAATATAATTGTTTGGTAATTGTTTACATTGAAATTAGAGCGTTGAATGATCAAGGAAGGTTCATAATACAAAATCATTCAGAGAGTTTTAGAACCATTAAAAGTCAGAATTTTTTTTGCCAAACAAAATTCATTCATTAACGATTTAAAGACTATCTCTCAATAAAACTATTAAAAAGTAAACAAATAACTTCGTTTCCAAATGATTTATTATTTTAATCAATTTCCACTTGTTTATTTGATTTATAACGAAAATTAATAGAAAATTCAGAAAAGTTGAAAGTCAAACCACAAAAATTTACCAAATTTTCGAAATCACTCGGTTTCTGGGCAAAGAACAGTAAACAACAACCAATCCGATCCAAACAGTTTATTACTAATGACAGATAGATATAGAAATCTGTAAGAACAGTTCTGTTGACGGAAACAGAAATTGCAGAGCCGGAGATGGTGTTAAACACCGGGTTAGTAACATCGGTGGCCACCGTATCTGCCGACATATGGCAATCGGTAGCATGTTTCTCGGAACGAATTACCAACGAAGAATTGTTAGATCTGGTGGTTTATTTTCCACTTCAACAATTAGGTCGTTTTGCGCTTTGTCTTTGGAATTTCTTCTGCGTTCCCACGTCGCCTGTCGATTCTATTTATTACTCTTATTACAATTATGACGACGAATATGATTCAGATTCCGATTCCTATTTGAGTTCAGCCGGTGGTTGTTTTTCGGGTTATGATCCGTACTACGATTCTCATTCCGACTGATTTCTCCTCCAAACAGAAGTGTGATGGTAACTGGTTTACCGTCGTTTCACCGTGTACAGTAGTGGCTTTCAGATTTTCTTGCCTTTTCATTTTATATAGCAAATGAATGAAATGTTGTTAAATGCACAGTTGTTCGATTTGATTAATTGCTAGGTTGTCTAAAAGCATGTGTCCTCTAAACTATACGTAATCTGTTACTTTAATTGATTTTTTTTAATTGGTGCAATTGGATAATTGGATTAGGTGATGCTCACATTACCTTGTGGCAATTGGCATGGCACCTAAGAAATCAACGTTTAATTGATTCATTGACTATGTCACTATGGAGTGTGGAATTAACCATCTCATGATGATTGTTTGATTTCGTGGATTTGTTTGCCACTTTTCAGTATGTTGTTTAAGCACATCTGAATGCCCTCTTCACCATATAAATTGAAAGTTCTAAATTCCAGTTGGGACAAAATACGAGTCAGTGTTGTTAATCCCTACAAATAATTGTTTAAGTGCTGATGCAGTGGGGCTGGGAGAATTCCTGTTTTTGTTGGTATCTTCATTTATATATCATCCTTTTTTATGGATTCTCTTATGGTAGTATTTCACTTCCTTGGTCATAAGGGTCAGTATGAAAACTTTAAGATCAGGGTTTTTTCACTAGCGAGCATGACCTGATATGCTTGGAGACACTAATGTATAATAAGGTGTGGGGAGTAATGCTATACTAGCTTCTTTCAGGTTGCCATACGCAATGAATTTTGCCAATGAACTGTTTATGGATCTTATGATATGGTGTCTGTTGGTATTTTAAGAAAGATAGATACGCTGGTCTGCTCTGGTCTGGCCTGGTTTGGTTTGCTTTGGTTTCTGTTGTCTCATAACTCTAGGCACAAGCTAAAAAAATGATTCACAGCAAGCTAACATGCATTTACCCCAAGATTTCTCTTTTGCTTGTATTGTTTTTGTTACGATCTTCATCCCCCCCCCAACCCTACAAGTCTACAACATGATGATGTATAAGAGTCATTATATTGACTTTCATTTATGTGCATAATGTAACCCTCCACCATGCCTCTGTCGAATGGAAGAATCATAAAGCCTTTAGGTTGGAAGGAAGTGTCCTTGGTAATATTAGCCATTATGCAACTAATTTTGGTTCACTTGGTGTTGTGTCAATCATTACTTCCTCTAAGTGCTCCCGGACTCCTTAAAACTATTGTGGCTAGCTGGCCGTTATGGCCATCCTCATGGTCCTACTTTCTGGAAGATGCTATCAATTTACAGATGGATATTAGCCTTTGAGAATGATGAAGCAGTAAACACATCTCTTCTATTTTACCTTTATTCATACCCCTCAAAATTGTCTTGCAGAAATAAGTTCTTATATGGGAATCTCTATGTTCTAGCTATTTAACTTGAACCACATAGTGCTTCCACAGCCTTCACGTCTCTTGTTGAAGAACTCAAGTAAGAAAGATTGGACTAGCAAGGCATTTCTTGAGGTGCAACGTGCATAGATGGGAAATATAAAAACTGATGATGAGAAGGCAACAAAGACCCAATTATCCTAACAAACACAATAGCATTAAATTGCTCGTGGACAAGCTTTCTGAGCATGATCTTTAAATCAGATGTTCAGAAGAATGAAATTACCGCCAAATACTTCATGGTGTTTATACATGATATTATGATAATAGTATCATATATGCTAACATGCATTATCCATTTATAGTCACTGGATTCTCTTTTCTCACTGTCATTTCTCCAACATCAGGGACAGCCGAAAAGAACCCAAATCATCATAAACTTAAAGTTATGAATCCTGTATGCAGATTAGCAAAATATATCTTTTTATGTGCTCAAGTAAATCTGAACACCCTTTTAAGTGTTGCTTATATACCTTTAAATTGTATCCTGCATGTGGTACTGCAATTACCATAATTTTGCTATTATTTAATATCATAATTTGTTTTATTCTTGCATTTACAGTCTTTTTGACATATTACGTGCCTGGATTCTTTAAAGCATGGGAGAAGTCGTACAATTGTTCAAAACTACATATAGATATAACTGGAATGTATTATATGCATCAACACATGTTCATAACCAGCATTTGTGTTTACTGTTGAAGATCAATTTAATGACTCGTTCAGATAGTTTTTTGACATTTTATTTCGAAGTTTCATGTTACTAGAAATGCTTGTAAGTGTCGGCATAGTAGTCGTTAGAGCCAGCGTGAAGCTTAGATCGGCATCATCTTAGAATTGGTGGATAGAGTTACTGATCGACACTATTGACCCAGAAGCTGGCATACTGAACTAGGATTTTGACAATGACCGTACGAACTTTGTTGCCTGATCAACATTTATTAGTAGGTCACCATATATGTTCATGTCTCCACTTTAATCAACTTGAATAAACCTTAGAATTGATTGCATCCCATGTGAATATGAACATAATGTCCCCCAATATCTTCTGAACTTTTGGTTTCATTTTTATGATTAGTGGCAATTTGGCAACTGCCCTATTTTTTTTAAGTAGATTTTTGATCCGTTTACATTCTACCCTCTGTATACCCCACTTTCGTATGAGATATACTGAGTTGAGTTAGTTTTTATAGTGGAACTGAGTATTCATCATTTTAATGAGAGTTGTTCACGGGCTGGATGGCCCACTAGAAAAACAGGCTTGGACTATCATTATCAACGAGAGTTGGGTTCCGGTGAGAATGAGAGTTAAGATGAGAAACGTAAGAAGGTATCTCCATCCTTTGATAAACATTAGGATGAGATGCACCGAATCAATCCTTATATCAAGCGCAATTCATGAGTGAGTTTGAGATTAACAGTGATCAAAGGTCCAGATCACTTCTTACGCTCCTCACCTTAACTCTCTTTCTCACACGATCCTTCACGTTGGTTTCTGGTGAGAAGGGCAAGAAGATATCTTCACCCTTGAATCAATCCTGACTGAAGATCAACACTAATGAGATGCATCAAGCTGCATTGGATCAATTACCTCCTAAAACATATTCATGGGTGGGCATGAGATTAAATGTGATCAAGGATGGAGATCCCTAGTTATGTTTCTCATGTTAACTCTTTTTCTTACACGATCCTTCATCTATCCATGAAATCGGCAGGCCGGGACTGACTTTTAAAATTAACGAGTGTGCATGGCCATGCAAAGAAAATTTGGGCAGGCTCGGTCGGGCAGTTGATATTTTTATAATAATCTTTTATACTTAAAATTTACATATAAAATTGAAAATTCTTGATACTTATCAATTCTCACTTAACCTTGACTCACGATAATTTTAAAGATCTAAAAAGTATAAACATAATTGCCTTAACTGATCAATTCTTTGTTATCACATTTGGTTGTTTCTTTTATTGATACCCCATACTTTGCGAAACATTTTTTTTTTCTAAATTATGTACATTGTTATGTATTTACGTCTAAATTTAAGTTGAAAAAATTGTTATGTATTTTGAATTATTTTACATAATTTGTGATTTTATATAAGTTTTGTTTTATTAAAAATATAAAAAGATTTTTAGGCATGTTAACCCGTGGAGAAGCCCAGCCTGCTTATAAGATGGATATGGACAAGTTTTCAAGCCCGTAAAAAACGGTTAATGTGTACTATATTAGGTCTACTACACAAGAAAAATAAGTTAGGTGCGGCCCAAACCCGTAAATGATCAGCTCTATTCTAATGGTAACTATTAGTAGACATTTATCCCCCATAGGTTGTGTCGGTAGATTGACAATGGTCTCGGAACTTAACGTAATTGGGTATTTCATAGTAGTTGATTATGGTGTACGGAATACGACGGGACGAGACGATGGTAGTTAAATTCAGTATTTGTGAGAAAAAAAAACATTTATTTTATGTTCTATTTTTCTGATGATTATGATATCTGACTTTTGACCGACTACAAAAATCAAATCGAGACCGATCGGTGTTATTACTTTGGGGTAAATCTATTACTCTACCTAAAAGAGAATCTTGAGGAATATAAGATAAATCCAAGTCTGTATCACGGGGGTTTAAGTCCATTCCTGAATAATTGAAAAAGACATGACTGAATGAGAACATATATGATGGCTGTTGGGTCTGAATGGCCATAAAGTTGTGGAGGAAACACCTTTCTTTCTTTCACCTACATATTATTACAAAAATTAGAACTGTCGACTGACTACCTGCATTTGGTGTATTGTAATTGTCCCTATATGAAACTAGATTCTTTTTTTTGTTTTTGTATGCAATAGAAGTGAAGCGATGTTTATCTGGTATAATCTTGAACGAGATTTTAATTAAATTTGTATACTTTTGATGAATGCAGAAACGGACCCACCTATTTTTAACAGATACAATGGCATGATCCACCGCTTCATTCTTTCGTCGTAGTATAAAAAAGTATAGGGTCGTCAAAGATGTCACTTTATCAAACTCAAAAAGACACCTTGTGGGATTAGTTCAACTGGAAATAAGACTCGAGTCTTTAGGGATGCTCCTCAGAGGTCACCAGTTTGAGTCTTGCAGATTTTCTTGATTGTTCTCTAAAACCCCTAATTATAGTCGAGATATACACAAACTAATCTAACTTAAAAAAAAAAAAAACTCAAAAACCACATCATTTTCTTTCATGTTTTCAAAACATGATTTAAGTTGGGCAAATTGCATGAAAAAGTAGCGTATTTTAAGTTGATTCTTATTTTGTGTAACGTATTTTTAAAACTTCCATTTTAGTACCTAAGATGTAAAGTTTTAAATATTTAAGTATTCGGGTAATCAGTTATCATGCTGATGTGGCGAGTGATGTGATATTCAACTCAGTATTACTTGCTAAAGTGGTCAATGACATGGATTTTTTAAATCTAAAATTAGTCTTCAACCAGGTACTCGGATACTTAAATGTTTAAAACTTTAGATTTTAGATACCAAAATAAAAGTTTTGAAAATACGTTACTCAAAATAAAAATCAAGTTAAAATATGTTACTTCTTCATACAATCTGTCTATTTAAATTTAAAAAGTAATTTATTGTAGTGAGACCCTAAAATCAATGAGTATCATATTTCAAGAAGACATATCACATTTCCCAAACGTGAGGGTGATGTACAACATAACATCAAGATACGAAAGAAGACAACCAAATCCCAAA